CATCACCCAAAAAAAAAAAAAAAACCAAATGGTGTCTAGTAACTACTGACTCATACTGACACCACTGTGATGACTTGATTGTTGGACAGTAATGACTGCATAGTAAGTATAACAGTTGACCCTTCAAAAGCAGTGTGGTTTAGTATCAGTAATTTAATTATCCCAGGTGCTTCCTTTCTATGATCTTTTGGGCAATGGTACTGTTTTCTTTCATAATATCTTTGTGGACTGTTTATACTGTGATACAAACAATGTTTTCAGGTCCTTAAAAAAATCTGCCCCAGATACCTGTAAGCCATTTGGCATGTTAATTCTTCATTTTGGAGTTGATTTTATAGTAGATACTTTTCAAAGACATTGTTGTCCTTGGATTAAGGATGTAGTTCAGTAATAGTGTTTAGAACGTGCAAGGTTCATGCCTTGCGGTGGTGGGTGCCAGGCAGTGGAGACAGAGGATGGTGGATCTTTGTTGAGTGGGAGACCAGCCCGATCGACAGAGTGAATTCCAGGACAGCCAAGGCTACACAAAAAACAAGCAAAAAAAGAATGTGCAAGATTTACATCACATATCAAGTACAGGGTACAGGGACAGAGTGACTGTTTAATTGCTCTGCTACTTTAGAACCTTTGGCACCTTCAAGAGCTGTAAATTGTTCAGACTGCTTCTTTCCTCTTAGTTCCCAGATTGCTTGGCTTGGGGCCTTGCTTCCACTGCCGCTCCTTGTGTACACACACTGACCACTGTAGGTACACTCCTATAATGCTGCAGGAGCAATTCTAGTTCCTATTAAAAGTTCCTACCAGTTGGGGCAGTTGCTTTCAGAGGGGAAATGAGAGCTCCCAAAGCCGTACTTGTGGCTTCATTCTGAAATAACTGAGCTATCTGTTTCAGGCCCTTTTTCTAAACTTCTTCCTAGACCCATATTTTCATGGTCGCTACTTTTTAAACCCACAACATCTCTCCACTCTGAAGAAAATACAAAAATAGAGTTCAAAAACAGCACATCCTGTTTAAACAAGTCAGGTTGCATGTAAAAACTTGCATGCATGTATGTGGATACTGGTAATATAAAGTACATATTTCTGAGTATACTGGTAATATAAAGTACATATTTCTGAGTGACTCAAACACTTGAAAAGCATATATAGTTCATTATAAAAGAACATCTTCGTTATCCCATCTTTGATTTTAACTACTTTAGATTACCTTTGCTTAGAATACCTTTGTGTGAATGCTTTTCTATCTCCAGATCTCTGCTCAGGTTCCTCCATTCTTGAGTATCTCTTCAAAACAGCATCTCTAGAATGGAAAGGTAGCTCAGTAGGAAGCTTGCTTAGCGTGAGCAAGGTCCTGGCTTCTAGTCCCAGCACTGAGCTTGTGGGGAGAAAACCCTCAAAAATCCTACCTCCTCCTGTTTCCCTTCCAGCTTTACTATTTTTACCCTGATGACTGTTGATGGCTCCCAAAAGTTGTCATTATTGTCCCAAACCTCAGAGTAAATGCTGAAGACTGGGATTTCTGAGTGTGTGGGCATATGTCTATAATCCCAGCACTTGGGGGGCTAAGAGACAGGAAGGTCGTGTATTTAAAACCAACCTCTGCTACAATGCTATAATGAGTTGGAAGCCAGCATGGACTACATGAGTCCCTGGTTTTTTTTTGTTTGTTTGTTTTGTTTTGTTTTGTTTTTTTAAGGCAAAGCCATGGGTGGTGGTGTGCACCTTTAATCCCAGCACTTGGGAGGCACAGACAGGAGGACCTCTGGTCACATAGTGAGTTCCAGGACTGCATGGACCCTGTCTCAACCAAACCAAGCAGAAGAGTGGGGCTTTTTGTCTGCTCCAAGCTGTAGCCCCAACATCTGAATGATGCTTGAAATACTAGGTTTCACTGTAAAGCTGTTGAAGGCTAGACTGATACAGATAAATGAGCTAGGTGATGGCAATGTATGCTTTTAATCCCAGGATTTGGCAGGTGGATCTCTGTGAGTTTAAGGATAGCCTAGTCTTGTCCCAGGACAGCCAGGGCTGTTACACAGAGAAACCCTGTCTTAAAAACATACCAAAAAAGACAGATAAATGGAAGAAAATATGGGTATCAGTTCAGGTTGACTCCGACACTTGGGAGACTAGTAGTGTACCAAAAGGTGAGGACAGCTGGGGACACCAAGCAATCAGGAAATGAGTAATTGCACAGAAATGCTCCCCTAGGACTGCCTGAGCTATAGGCCACAGATGCAAAGAATTTGTGTCAGAGTATCTGAGAAAACATCTCAAGAGAAACATGGGTCAGAGAGGGAGAGAGAGGCCCTTGTTGCCTGTTCTCCCAGCTTCCAGGAAACTGGACTGCAGTTTCCACCCATCACCTTGCATGTTGCCACTGCCCCTGAGTCTTTTTCTATTTGGAACAAAAGGATGTTTTGTGGGTTTTTGCTTTGCTCAGTAGGTCTTACATTTACAAAGTGCCTATAATCAAAAGTACATTTTGGACTAAGTGTGTGTCCACCTGGAGCTCCTAGCTACCAGGGAAGCTGAGGCAGGGCCAGCCTCCATAACATAGTGACCTGCCTGGTTTGTTTCAAAGAGGGCCTAGAGATGGCTCAGACTCAGTGGTTCCTAGTGCCCACATGGCAGTTCACGACTGTTAACTCCAATCCCAGAGATCCTGATGACTTCCTGTGCCTCCATGAGCACCTAGCACAGGAATGGTATGCAGAAATGCATCGAGGGCAAATACAAAGTAAAATTTTAAAGAGATACCCACCCCCCAAAAAAGCCAGGCATGGCAGCACTAACCTTTAACCCCAGAAGTTGAGGGGCAGGCAGACAGTCAGGGAGAAATGAGTACTGAACTGGGGTGACCCACCCCTTGAGTCTTGGCACTTACGGAAGGAGGCAAGAGGCAGGAAGATTTCTGGATGGCACACCTTTCTCCCTCACCCTTGTGCTGCCACAGTACTTGGAGCCCCCGTGGGTCCTGCTCATACTCACAGGGTCTTAATTGTAGAGTCACATGGGGGAACATTCAGTATAGGCTGGTTGGATAGTTAATGGAGTTCACTTTTCTGCTCCAAAGCTGTGCCCCTCCCCCACCTGCTTTGTCTGTCTGATCTCCTTCAAGTAGGCTGTGCTCCAATCAAAAGGGAAAGCCAGATTTAGATATCCAGAATAAGAGGACATTCCTAAACCTTTCTTGACCTCTTAGCTAAGAGGAACAGCAAGGGTTAAGCAGTCATTCAGCTGGAAAGGACTGTGAAGGCAAGCCTTGACCCTGAGGGAGGTCATTCAACATGCCCTCCCTGAGGCAATGACAGTCAGCCTCTGACATCAGCAATAGCTGTATGCCTCAGTGTTCCAGTCTGCCCACACTGCCCCCTCCTTCCTCTGAATGCCATAATTCTCCACAAAATGGCAATAGCAGGGCCTTGAACATTATCTGAATGGCCTGTCCCACACAACCTCCTCCCAACTCTCTAGCACCTTCTCTGAAGGCAGGTCCATGTGTATCTGAGGCTGCACGTGTCCCAAACAATGGGCAGGGGAAAGCTAGGGCAGCCAAGCCTGCCAGCACACTCTCCACCTAGGCACAGGCTGCAGAGGAATAGGTCTCTCTTCCTGGCACTCACAGGCAGGTTTCCTGAGCCAAACGTGTCTGTGCCCCTTGCTGCTTCCCTAAGCAGTGCCTTGGTGGTGGATGAGTTCACTTTGTACCCATAAGAACTGAGTGCAGGAGCCAGCAACAGGATTGGAAAGGGAAGCAGTACCTGTGTCTGGGATATAATCCCATAGAAGAGGACGGGTTTGGCAGCTCATGCCTGTAATCCCAGCACTTGGGAGTCAGAGGCAGAAGAACTGGGATTTCAAGGCTCATCTCAGCTACTAACAAGTTTCAGGACAGGCCAGGTTGGACTCCATCTTAAAACATCAGAACAGACAGGAACACATGGATCAAGCATTGGAATACACCTTTCCAGGGACACTGACTGGGAGGGAGGGTTAACATCAGGGACAAACTAAAGCTGGGGACAATGAAAATGAAGGGACTAGATCTTGGGTCCTTCAGTGCCTCAAGGCAGTAGCTCACAGGACATCTCATGAAACTACCAGAATTGAAATGTAGGCTATAGGACTCATCCATATGTCCTTTTATTTAATTGCCTTGAAGGGGGTGGGTCTGCAGTAGTAACAGGATACATAAATCAAATGCTGGTTGCACAGTTGGGAGTAGGACAAACTATTGGCAACATTATTGCCATAGGAATAGAATGCTTAGAAACAGCCTCAAAGTGCCTTTACTAAAAAGAGATCTTGGCAGAACAATACTAGGACCTAGTTTTTTCCCTGCCTGGCAGGTCTGAGGCAGTTCAAAGGTTCCATGGGTCTTTGCCCAGTACCATAGGATCTCCTACCTGCAAAAACTGATGGGAATAGATGTCCAAGTATTTGTCTTTCCCACCTTTCTGCAGAGGCCAAGTCCTGTAGCATGCCTGACTGATATAGTCTTGCAGACATATATCTATTTCTATGTAGCCTTGGCTAGCCTCGAACTCACAGAGATCTACTTGCATCTGCCTCAGAGTGCTGAGATTAAGATGTGCATCACCACACCTGGCTCTGGTCCTGTAGTGTTATCTTACTCCTCTTTGGTTCTTTTACTCTGGCTTGCTCTCTCTACCTCACTTAGTGGGCATTTAAGTGAATGTTGAATCTGGAGCTTGAGGACAGAGCTTAAAATTTGGATGTAAAACTCATGAGAAGCTGTATGCCTTCTGTCCAACTGCCCCATCTCAATGGCCTGTCTCCCCCCTGCAAGCCCCCCCCCCCCCGGTCTACTGAGTCTGGCTCTCTCCACTCCCTTCTACGCATTCTGCCCCCTCCCACCTTGGCCAACACTGCAGTATGAGGCAATCATTCCATCCTTGACCCTCTGTACAGTGACTGATGGCTTTTTTATCTCCAAGTGATGATGCATAGCCTTCCGCTGGAAGCATTTAAGGCAGAGCACTTGACTCAAACCACAGCTGCAAGACCTTGAGCGGCTCAGGAAGAACAAATCCTTGAGTGCGGGCACAATTGCAGTCCAGCCACATCTGCCAGGAAAGCATGTTACTAGCCACGTTTAAGCTGTGTGCTGGAAGCTCCTACAGACAAATGCGGAACATGAAAGGTGAGTCTCTGGGGGGCACAGGAGCTTGCCAAGAGCCTCTAGGCAGTATGGTTTTGTAGGAAAGATCCTGGGTGGGGGACAGGCCACCTAGGCTTCAGTCCCAGGTGTGCCTCTTCCTGGGTGAGCCTGGGTAAATCTTTTCCCCTCTGGACCTCAGTTTTTCACCTGAAAAATTAGGCTGGATAGTAAGATGCTGTATCTCACCCAAACCCTGTAATTTCTGGCCTCTGCTCTAAGACCCCACTTGTTTTGGAGCTAGTACAGATGTTGCCTTCCTTTGAGACTGGACCAGGTCTGTACTAAGTGTCCCAGGCACAGTGGTAGAGAAATGCAGAAGACTTGACTCTAAGAAGCAGTGCCTGGCAAGCCAACGGCACTGGGAAGAGAAGCATAAGAAAAAGACAGGAGAGCTGGGCAGCACAAGCACGAGGCAAAGTGGGGGGCCCTTGTCACTGTATAGCCAAAAGGCAGATCTTGGTAGTGGGGTAATCTTCAGGAGACAGACGTATCCTACTCCAGTGACCTACAGAGGAACCTTTTTCTAGTTTACAGCAGGCCCAAGTAAACACCTGTGTACAAGTAGGGACAGGTTTGACCAGCCTGCCCTTATTTCCTGAGACAGAAGAGATTTCTGGGGTCTGGAAGTGCTGGAGGAAACTTTAAACTGAACTTGGATTTAAAGATGTGCCTCTAGTTCAGGTCCCTGCTGGCATCTGTTCCTGAGCCACTTTGCTCCTCTGTGATGAGTGGACTAGATGGCCCCACATTATGGGACTCTCTAGTTCCTTGGCAAAAGTTTCCTTCCCTGTCTGCAGGACTAAGGCACCAAGCTGTGCGGGCCATTGGCCAGGAGCTGAGCAGAAGAACACTGGGAGACTCCAGCTCTGGATGGATCAGTCAGGTTCCTCGTCGGGGCTCTCTGCTAGGTAAATGTGGGAGGCTTGTGGTCTTAGGGTGGAAATGTTGTTCATGAGGCCTATTCCCTGCCTGTGACTACCTAACTCCTGTGTCTACCTTGACCTTTGATCCAGTCTCTTCTGAGGACTGCGCACATTCAGAAGGCAAAGGGATGAAAGCTGGGGATCGATCGGCCAGGACACTGGAAAGACATTTTCTTTCTTTTTCATGGTTATGTATATGTATACAGGTTCTCAGCTAGAAGCGGCACTCTATAGTGAGCAGGAGCTGTCCTATATCCAGCAGGGAGAGGTGGCTATGCAGAAGGCCTTGGGCATCCTCAGCAACCAGGAAGGCTGGAAGAAGGAGAACCAGCAGGTAAGAAAGGGTAACTGTGAGAAACCTGGAGCTACCCAGTGTCCCACTGGGATTCCTACTTCATTCATGGTTAATAAGCAGCCAAGTAGTTTTGTTTTGAGAACACTTCTAAGAACATATTTTCAGGGACTGAAGAGATGGCTCAGTGGTTAAGGGTACTGACTGTTCAATTCCAAGCACCTACATGGCAGCTTACAACTGTCTGTAACTCCAAGATCTGACAGCCTCACACAGGCATACATGCAGGCAAAACACCAATGCACATAAAATAAAAATATATAAAGAAAGGATATATTCTCAGGTCGAGGTGAGGGTACACAACTTTAATCTCAGTACTCACAAAGCAGAGGCATGGGGAATCTCTGGGGGTTTGAGGCCAGGCTATGTAGTAAGTTCCAGGCCAGCCAGGGCTACATAGTAAGACCCTGTCTCAAAACAAAGAAACAAACAATATGCTCTCAGATAACCAACCCTCTCTCCATAAGACCTGATTGAGAGACAGATCTTATTTTTTAACTGCCGTCTGAATCTTGTACGTTCATCCAATGGAAACCATATACTATGGATATTCCATATGCACTGGAGGACATATTATCCAGTACTAAAACCTTTACAATGCTAGAGTGTATTTTGTTCTGTGCAGCCTGCCCTGTAGATGACCTTGCAGAGTGTAATGTGGGCTCATCCTGGAGTATACAAAAGTGTCCCAGTGTTGCTTCAAGTCCTGTCCCGAATGTTGTATCCCTTACTGGGAGGCAGTAACAAGACTTAGGTTAAAAGCAGTAGCTCTACTATTAGACCTACTTTGGTGACCTTATGTCCAGCAAAAGTTTACACATGAATCATTGTCCAAAGTTCAGATGAAACATCTTGTCCTGAAGTTCTTACAGTAGTGGAAAATAACAGACTAAAAGTTTTGGAGTCAAAAAATCTGGGATCCAAGCTCAGCAATGCTCTTTGCTAAGGGTCCCTGGGCAAATCATTAAAACTTCTTGGCCCCACATTGTTCTTCTAAAGTGAAATAACATATAGTGAACCAACAAGACAAACAAACAAAACCCACTGTTCCCTCTATATGATTGGCTAGTTGTAGATTGGCTAGTTTTACACTCCAGATCTGTCTTTAGATTCTGAGCTTTGAAATATATGTCATTTCAGTAGGAGCATTCCATGCTACCAACATTCATCACTACGACAAGGCAGTGTTGAGTGGATATACAAGGCTTGGGGCAGTGGTGCTTGTCCTCATCAGGTAGAAAGCCAGGTCCCTAATGTTCACTCATACCTTAGACTTGCTGGTCCCAGTACTGTCCATGACCTAGACTAGGAGTGATTTTTCTCTACTCTTAACCCTGTGGCTCTCTTTTGTCCCTAAAAGGAAAATGGGGATGAAGTGCTAAGTAAAGTAGTCCCGGATGTGGGCAAGGTATTCCGGTTGGAGGTGGTGGTAGACCAGCCCATGGACAGACTCTATGAAGAACTTGTGGACCGCATGGAGGCAATGGGAGATTGGAACCCAAACATCAAGGAAATCAAGGTGAGGAAAGGCCCAGGTGTGGGTGGCAGGGACACAAGAGAATGTAGTCTAAGAGGTAGACCAAAGGCACCCCAAACTCTGGGTGCTTAGTTCACCACTGGCCAAGTCCTGACTCTGATTCCCTTGTATTAGGTCCTGCAAAAGATTGGGAAAGACACAGTCATCACTCATGAGCTGGCTGCGGCAGCAGCAGGAAACCTGGTGGGACCCCGTGACTTTGTGAGCGTGCGCTGTGCCAAGCGCAGAGGGTCCACCTGTGTGTTGGCAGGCATAGCCACACATTTTGGGGAGATGCCTGAACAAAGTGGTGTCATCAGGTAAAACCAGCCAGCAGTTTCAAAACTGCAGAGTCATAATCTGGATCCCCATTACCAAGAAACCCATCCTTAGCCACTCTCAGCTTTAGCAAGGAAGTATGGCCAGAACAGCCCCCACTTCAACAGCCAGTTGGTTTGTTCTGACCCTCCCAGGAACTTCTAAGTTCTTAATCCTGCGTGCGTACGTGCGTGCGTGCGTGCGTGCGTGTGTGTGTGTGTGTGTGTGTGTAGGCCGCATAGGAGCCCACCTGCAGCTGCAACCAGCAGGTTCTCATGAGCTGGTAGCCATACCAACTGTCAAATAGTACTTTTGCTGAAGCACTTCCTGATGAAATTTAAAATACAAGGGACTCTAGCAATATACTAATGTCACCAATCTTGCCTTCCTGTTTTTTCCCAGAGCTGAACACGGTCCCACCTGCATGGTGCTTCACCCACTGGCTGGAAGTCCCTCGAAGACTAAATTCACTTGGCTGCTCAGTATTGACCTCAAGGTAAGGGACATGGGAGATGGCCTTGGAGTAGTGACAGAAATATGCTCTTGTCCCCCAACATAGAGAAGAAAGAATCCTCTTGCATTTTTGACTTTTGAAATACTTCATTGGGTGTGTGTGTGTTTGTGTGAATGCGGGTGCTCACATGTCACAGCAATATGGAAGTCAAAGGACACTATTGACTTAGGATTCTCCTTCCTCCTTTACATGGGTTCCAGTAATTTAACTCAGATGCCAGGTCTGTAAGGCAAGCACTTGGATGCATCAAGGCATCTTGCCAGCCTTCCCCTTGCATTTTGATAGAATCACACACAGGCTGTTGGATAGGCGATGAACTTATGGCTTGCTATTCTACCACTGTAGAAGCCTGCTAAGGCTTCTTCTTACCTCATCTAAAAACGATGCAATATCTAAAATTTTAGTACTTAAAGGCAGAAGTAGGAAGATCACACACTTGAGAATCTAGGACCTAGTGAAATAGTTAAAAATGAATGTCGGTTTTATGTATAAATATAGCCTTTTAGAAAGAGGTGATCTTAGTCCCAGAGGGAGGTGATAGGAAAGGGGATACAGATTTCTCATGGTCACATAGCTAGAAATCCTGTCACTTAACAATCGGGCAACCAAGGTTGCTCCTCTAAACAGAAAAACCAAGCCTTTTTCGGTTTTCCTGCCTGTGTAAGGATACAGAGTAAAACAGTATCCATAAGATACCAATGCTCACTGGGCATGGTGGTACACACCTTTAATCCTGCACTTTTTGATAGGCAGAGGCAGACAGATATCTGTGAGTTCAAGGCTAGCCTGGTCTATAAAGCAAGTTCCAGGACAGCCAGTGCTATTACACAGAGAACTCCTGCCTCAAAAACCAGACAAAGATGCCAATGGTCTCTCCTCTGCTCCAGGGGTGGCTGCCAAAGAGCATCATCAACCAAGTCTTATCACAAACCCAGATGGAGTTTGCCAACCACCTGCGCAAGCGCCTGGAGTCCATCTCTGCCACTGAGGCCCGATGTTAAAGACTGTACCCACTACATCAACCTGCATGCCATCAGCAGCCTCTCACAGAAGCCTGCAAGTCTGTTTAAAATCTTCAGTTGATGACAACAGCAGGGGTAGTAGTTATCAGACACTAGGACTGACTGGTAAAAAATGACCATCAGGAAATCAGAAATGAGGCTGAGAGGAAGAGACCTAAGCCTCTCTCACCTATTAGCTGTGAAGCGCTGCCAAAAGATAGACATGTGTTAAACCTTCTATCTAGGCCTGTATATGCTCACCTAAATAACCCTACTCAAATTCCCAGGAGCTGATGTGACAAGGTGTGGTGTTAAGGAACTGTTGTCTTCTAAGCTCAAAGCCACTCCTTGAAGCAGTATGTACACACAGCAAGGTTTTCCCAGGGGACTCCAGTGACCTTCTGCTCCTTCATAAAAGGCCAGATCATCAAACCACTCATAAACGGACCCTTCCAGGGTATATTCCAAGTTTTCTCTAAGGAGAAAGGAAACTAAACATTACATTGACTCCCCTACTTAGTCCATCACAATAAAGCATCACACACGCTAATTTCAGCCTGTACTTGTCAAGTCCTACTCCACAGAATCAGAGCTGGGAGCCATAGCTTCTTTAGAGTTCTGGACCAAGACTCCAATTAACTAGTTCATTAGAGGGAACAAAACTTCAGATCTATATCATTTGATTGTTTAGACTTTCCTAAAAATGCAATTTTATAACAAGCACAACTCTAAACTGGTTCTTAAACAATTCTAGCCAAAAGCCACTGTGATGGCACTCAGGCAACACACACAGGTGGATCTCTGTAATACTGAGGCCAGCCTGGTCTACATAGAAGGACAGCCAGGCCTACATGGTGAGACCCTGCCTCAAAAACACAAAAACTGATTGGAGAGATGACTCAACAGTTGGCAGCACTGGCTGCTCTTCTAGGGGATCCAGGTTCAATTCCCAGCACTCACATTGCAGCTCATAGCTGTAATTGCAGACCCAGGGAATGTGATATCCTCTTCTGTGGTCACCAGGCACACACATGGTACACATAAGCTGAACATGCATAATCATTAAAAAACAACAACAACCACCTCTAGTCAGCTGAAATCTCAACACTCCAAATGATAGCACAGATAAATTGCCCGAAGTTCCAGGCAAGCTTCAATCACTGTGAGACTATCTCACAACAAAACAAACAACTCTTTAGAGCTATCAGTTAAGGTTGATAGCCCTAAAAGGTTTTAATAGGATTTTCATTTACCTAATTGAAAGGATAATACCAAATAAGAAATCCTGACCAATAAATGCTAAGATAAAATGACTATGTCTATTGTTTATGAGGTTAGTAAGTAATAAACAGATTAGAGAGATCTCAGTTTGGCTAAGAGCTAGCAACTTCCTTGTTTGAAAAGCTTAAAATATTACCATTTGGGAAGAGAGAATAGTTAGAAGGCAATACATTGATGATAAATTCCTGTTCCAGGATTCACAGGAATTACGCTTTAAAGATTTTGAGCTGGGGGCTGGCAAAATGACTCTTTGTATAAGTATTTGCCACTAAACCTGATGACTCGTGGAACCCACATAAAGGAGAGGAGGGAACTGGGAAAATGATTCCTCGGAACTTCCTGATCTCTAGTCGTTTGCCCTCACACCCATACTAAAAACCTTACACTTAAATACATACACTGGAATTCCTTTGTTGAATGTGTTATGGATGAAAACAAAACTATCACGACTAAAGCTTTTCACTGTCAGGGTAGGCAGCAAGCACTTTTATCTGCATGCCATCTTGCTAGCCCACTTTTCTGTCTTTATAGTCTTAGTAATACTGGTAATTACCATCTTTTACAAAGAATTCTAGCTTATTTATGAGTAAAGCAGCAGGGGAAACACTTAGTTATTGAGGTCTTAAGATTTAACAACTGATGTTCATTGTAACTCCTTCTGGTTGCTTTCCGATCTACTTTTGACAAAGATGAGACTGCTGCTCACTCAGAGCTTCAGGGTGAGGAAGGGCAGTTGTAGGGCTTTTCTGCTACAACTGTCACCATGGTCAGCAAAGAAAAAGCAGCACTTGCTGACTCAAGCTTGGGAAAGACTGATGGAGAGGAAAAGGCCTCAGCAAACACTAAGCTATCCTTTGTTCCTTCACACCCTGCAACTGGATTTTTGTGCTGTCTGACATGTTTTACCCCTTTGCTTAATCAATGGTAATCTGTAACAGGGTAAATAAAAGACCAAGAGATGGATATTGGGGTTCAAGTTTTAAGCTAAAGATAAGGAAAGAAAAGCAGCTGGCTGCTAGTTCTTACCTTTACCTCAGGCTAAAATGGCTGTCCTCTTCTCAGTGTGGGTGGAGAACAAATCTTCACATGATGCCCTTTGGTTCTTCCTTTCAAATCCTGAGATTAAAGATTTGTGATCTCAAGTGCTGAGATCACCTTTGTGTGTGTTGTTTCTCTGTAGGACTGGATCAATTTTGTGTAGCCCAAGGTAGCCTTGAACTAATCCATCTGCTTGTCTCTTGAGTCCTGGGATTAAATGTGTGTGCCACCACTGCCTGGCTCTATGGCTTGTGGCTAGCTTTGCTTTCTGTACCCTCAGGTAAGCTTTAATAAGTTATAAACATTATATGACCACAGTAATCTGATTATTGACACCTACAGATGGTTAGTTATTTTTGGATCTTTCAAATGATACTTACCAACACGTCCAAGTTCACATCTATACACAAACGTTTCTTTTTTTTCAATTTTGTTCTTCTGAGACAGGGTCCGTCTCACTCTGTAGCCCAGGCTGGCTTGGAACTCATTTCAACCCTCCTGCCCCAGCCTCTTGAGTGCTGTGATTAACAGTGTAACCCACTACCACCTGGCCCTTTCTATCAGACACTAAGTAATGTCAAATAAAACACGACTGTGGTAACCTCCAACATATGAAAGCCAAATACACAAACATCTAGTTCTAAGTTTAGGTAGGGCAGAAGACTTATACATGCATATTTGTATGCCAATACTTTACCTCTAGTTTCTACTAATAACATCATTGTTTGTTTGGGAGTCCTTCAATGATCTCACTTTGTAAGTGGCTTGTCGTTCTCAGACCAGTCCTTGCATTAGGTGTCTAGAAACTGATAGGCTGTGACCCCAGCTTACAATAATACTGACTCTATAGTAAGTTTCTTGTTTAGATAGTAAATGGGTGAGGCAATCATGCTGGTCCATCTTTAAGCCCAGCCTCCAAAAGGGGGTAGAGGAAGGCAGATCTCTTGTCAGTTGGAGGCCAGCCTGATCTCCATAGCTAGATAGGCTACATAGACACTGCCTCAAAAAAAACAAAAATGAACAACAAACACATTGAATGGATAAAACAATGAATGTGAGTGACTCAGCAGCACAGTAGGAGACAAGTGTAATAGCATTGCCACCCCCTACTCCCTCACCCCCACCCTGAAACAGGGTTTCTCTGTGCAGATTTGGAGTCTGTCCTGGAACTCGATCTGTATGTAGACCAGGCTGGCCTCCAACTCACAGAGATCCACTTGCCTCTGCCTCCCAAGTGTTGTAATTAAAGGCATGTACCACCACGAACCGGCCATTTGTGTTAATACTCACTTGAACCTTAAGGGGTTTCTTAAATAACAAGACAAAATTAGAATAGGAATGACCTACGTTAATTCTACACACCACATAGCTCCCGCTGAGTCACTTTATCTAGTACTTAGGTTAAAAAAATCACATTTGGCAGTCTTTAGGTAATTCTAGGAGTTTGCGTTTGCCACAGACTCTTGTACTTAAAAAGGGAAGCCATTAAGGGGTCCTCCCAAAGAAAGGTGCATTGCCATTCTTGTATCCTAACCACTAGCTGGCCATTAGAAAAGGCAGGTGGGCAAGAGAACCACCTGTACACATCAACACCAGGTTCAAAGAGAAAAGCAAAGACAGGCCTTTTACATTCTCGCTCTCCTTGAGATTCCAGTTTTCATAGTATAGTGGAAATGCCTGGGTGCCCAGGGAAAAGGAGAGCAATACAATAGAAGAGGGCTGAAACCTAAGCCAGAAGCCTGTTCCATCCTTCCAGTGCTGCTCCGTGCTCATACTGCTCACAGTCACCAAGTGGAACTCAACCTCAAATGAAGCCAAGTACCACACAAGCTTGAAAAGAATTTTTATTGGAGAAAAGATCTAACTGTTAAACCTGCAGGCAAATTCCTTTCACAATTATAGTTCGTAGAAACCCACTAGCTTCACAGATCCCCAAACTCCACACCAAAAAAGATAGCTTGTAGACTGTACTGCTACTGATTCCCACCTCCTCAGAAACTGGGAGGGACATCAACATCTTTAATCTACTACCTGCAGGGACATGTTTACTCACTTCTAGGAAATACAGGAAAGTAACAAGTCCTGCTGGCAGGATGTGGAACAGCACCAGTTTCACGGGAGTCTGTGGGCCCTTCAGAATGAGCAGTTGTTGACTTATGGCACTCACAAAGAGCAGTAGCTGGAAGTAGGGAGGGAATGCTAAAGGGCAGGGCATCTGCCACAGTCCCAGCCAGCCAGCCTCTTCTACCTCGATGAAAGTGTACTGCAGCATCTTTGGGAGAACATTTGACACTTAATAAACAAAAGCAAAAACCCCAATATTATTCCATAGGAAGTTGTCTGAAGTAGGGATTGGTTAGGGTTCCCAGGGTGGACTGCGCCTTCCATCCACTTCTGTCTCTACGTGATACAAAACGTCAGCCAGTGTGTGTTCTACAACAGCACCCCAGCCCATGTTGCTCATCTGCAGGAGGGTTAAAGACAAACAGGAAAACAAGTAAGTACAAAAGCCAAATGAGAAATAAAGACATCGAGGATGCATGTAGACGTTTTAAAGGTACTCACAGGGTGGTAAGTTAGATCCTTTGGAGGATATTTGAAGGATGGTCCAAAGTTAATGGAAACCTGGGATAAGTTCAATTCAAGTAGACACAGGAGAAAAAAAAAAAAAAAAAAAATGAAAAAGAAAAGTTCACTTGGCAGGAGATATTTAAAGGAAAACTACAGGAAGTAGGAACTGTGCTGCATGCCTGTAAACCCCAGCACTAGAGAGGTGGAGGCAGGAGGATCCTGGGTTTGAGTCTAGCCTG